AATATACATAACTAAGGAGATGAAAGGCATCTACAGGGAGAACTAAAAAACACTGAGGAAGGCAATAGAAGAGGATATACAGAGCTGGAAAACCATACCATGCTCATGGATCTGCAGAAATAACATTCTTAAAATGTCTATATTACCAAAAGTGATATAGACTCAATCTAATATCCATTAAAATACTAACATCAATTTTCACATATCTGGGAAAAATAGTTCTAGGCTTCATATGGAACCAAAAAAGTCCCTGAATAGCCAAAGTAACCTTAAGCAATAACAAATGAGGAAACATCAATTTACCAGATATCAAGCTATACTACAAGGGTACAGTTAGAAAAACAGCATGACACTGGCACAAAAACAGAGACATTGACCTATGAATCAGATCTGAAAACTCAGATATAAAACCATCCTCATATTGTGATCTGATGTATAACAAAGCAGAGAAAAACATACACTGGAGAAAAGAATTTCTACTTAATAATTGGTGCTGGAAAATTGGATAACAACATGTAGAAGACTAAAATGGGGTCCATATCTCTCACCATCCACAAAATTACTTCACAATTGATAAAAGACTTAAACCTAAGGCATACAACTATAAGAATTCCAGAAGAAACTGTTGAAAAAACACTACTAGATATATCCCTACACAAATAATTTATGAAGAAAACTCCAAAGACAATTATATCAACAGCAAAATTAACAAACGGGGCTTGATTACACTAGAAGATTCTATACAGCCAAGGAAACAATCAATAGAGTGAATAGACAACCTACAGAATGGGAGAAAATATTTGCATGTAATACATCCAATAAAGGGCTAATCACCAGAATCTACAAGGAACTCAATTGAATCAAAAAGAAGAGATCAAATAATCCCATTTTAATGTCCAATAAAATATGAAAGATTCTCAATGTCTTTCATCATCAGAGAAATGCAAATCAAAATCTCAATGAGATATCACGTAACCCCAGTGAAAATGGCTTTTATCAAAAAGTCCCAAAGCAACAGATGCTGGTATGGATTTGGAGAGAAAAGTACACTTACAGACTGTTGGTAGGAGTGAAAACTAGTACAACCTCTATTGAAAATAGTATGGAGATACCTCAAAAAACTAAAAATAGACCTACCATTTAATCCAGCAATCCCACTATTGGGTATTTACTCAAAGAAAGGAAGGTTATTTCTTGAAAAAGACACATATACTCAAATGTTTATTGTAACACAATTCACAATTGCAAACATGTGGAATTAACACAAGTGCCCAACAATACATGAGTGGATTAATGAAATGTGGTATATATATATATATATATATATATATATATTATGGAATACTACTTGACCATAAAAATGGTTAACTATTCCCTTTGGTAACAACTTGTGTGGAACTGGAGACCATTCTTCTAAGCAAAGTATTGCAAGAATGGAAAAAAAAAACAAATACCACATGTACTCACTATTAAATTGGAACTAATCAATAAACACCCATGTGCACATATGCTCATAAAACTCAACAGAAACCAAGCAGCTGGGAGGAGGACAAGGGAATGGGTAAATTTACACCTAATGCGTACAATGCATGGTACATTTGTGATGATCATGCTTATAATTTTGACTCAAACTGCACAAAAGCAAATCATGTCACCAAGACATTTGTATTCCCATACTCTTTTGAAATTTTAAAAAATGTAAAAAATATACCTACCCAGTAGTAGAACTGCTGGATCAAATGATAGGTATATTTTAGTTCTTTGAATTATCTCCATACTACTTGCCATACAGGTTGTACTAGTTTGCAGTCCCTCTGGCAGTGTATGAGTGTTCCTATCTCTCTGTGTCCATACCAACATTTATTGTTGTGGGACTTTTTGATAAAAGCCATTCTCATTGGGTATTAAGTGATATCTCATTGCAGTTTTGATTTGCATTTACCTGATGATTAGAGATGCTGTCCATTATTTTCACATTTCTTGGCCATTAGTCCATCTTCTTTTGAAAGGTTTCTGTTCATGTCATTTGCCCACTACTGGGTATCTTCCCAAAAGAAAAAAAAAGACATTCTATAAAAATGATATCTGCATTTGAATGTTTATAGCAGCACAATTCACAATTGCAAAGGTGTGGAAACCATCCACTTGCCCATCAGTACATGAGTGGATTAATGAAATGTGGTATATGTATACCATGCAGTACTACTCAGCTGTAATAAAAAAGGATGAAGTACTTATTGTATTACCCTGGATGGAGCTAGAGCCCATTCGTCTAAGTGCAGTATCACAAGAATGGAAAAACAAACACCACATATCCTTACCATTAAGTTGCTACTAATTGATTAACACTAATGTGTAAATGTGGGAAGTAAAATTTACAGGGTGTCAGGCACATGGGAGGGGGAGGATGGGGAAGGTAAATCCACATCTAACATATCTGGTGTGCACTGTCTGTGAGATGGGCACACTTGTCAGGCACTGCAAAGACAATTTATATAACCAAAGTGTTTGTACCCCTGTCATATTCTGAAGAACAAAAAATATATGTATCTACCATATGATCTAGCCATCCCACTCATAGGTATTTACCCAAGAGAAGTTATTATATTTCCATATAAAAACTTGTATGTGAATGGTCATAGTCACATTATCTGTAATAGTCAAAAAGTAGAAACACAAATGTCCATTAACAGATCTGAATAAATAAACTGGGTTATAGCTAGGACATGGAATGGTACTCAGCAATGAAAATAAATCAGTACAATAAAATGGGTGAATCTTATTGATATTATGCTGAATTAAAGAAGCCAGATTCTTTTACAAAGGGGAATACAGAGTGTGTGACTCCATTTATATGAAGCTCTAGAAAGTGCAAACTAATCTATAATGACAGAAAGTACATTATCAGTATCACATGGATGTTACAGCAGGAGGTGGGAACAATGATTTTAAAGGTCCATAGGAAAACTTTTGTGTGTGATTACCTTTATATGGTGATGGTTTCATGGATGTACACATATGTCAAAACTTATTAAATTGTGAAGCTTAAATATGTATTGTTTATAGAATGTCAATTACACCTCAACATCTTAGGGATGTGGAGGGGCAGGGCATACCTCTAACCCTTCTTAGGGAGAGGTAAAGATATAAAATGTAACCAAAATGTCAAAAAACCACACTTTTATTGGTTTGTGGGCAGGTGGGAGGGGGGAGGAGGGGACGGGTGTATATTTACATAATGAGTGCAATGAGTACCATCTGGAGGATAGACACGCTTGAAGCTCTGACACGGCGGGGGGAGAGGGTTGGCAAGGGCAATATATGTAACCTTAATAGTATTTGTATCCCCATAATATAATGAAATTTAAAAAAAGGAAAAAAAAATTAAATCTTATTTGTAACTGTGACATCATAGTTGTATATTGAAAATGAAGAATAGGATATAATAATGAAGAAGTCTTGGTTTCAGAAATAAAATGCCTTTTAATTTTTATTACTCCAATAAACACATGGTAGTTTGAAGTACATGGAAGATATTCATTTCTATGTAATATAATGAAATATTTTCTTCTGAATGATAAATATCCATGTACATGAAAGTGCAGTGAAAGACAAATTTTCCATCATTGCTTATGACAATATAAAATAGTCTGACTGTTTTGAATAACAGTGGAACACAGTGTATCAAGAAGTTTTGATTATTGTGTTTCTGAGAAGTTATATCTAAAAACATGAGAAATATAAAAAGATCTTTTAAAATATTCATGTTTGTTAACCATAATTCCACTTCTAGTAATTTATTCTCAGAGCCAAATTATGAGATGTATAATAACAGTTAAGAACAAGCAACAGAACTGCAACATCAATGTAATAACAAAGCTTTAAAACTAACACAAACAGTCTCTAATAAGGGATTAGTGGGCTAAATTTGGGGCATCAAGATGATAAGTATAAACTCACCAAAAATGATATTTTTTATTAAATTTAGGGTCATAGGAAAATTCTGAAATAGAGCCTAGTGGGTGGAAAAAGAAGTTGAAAACCAGGATGTACAGTATGATTTTTATTTTAAGCACAAAACAAAATGCTTGGGGATGTGTGTTGGTATCTATGTAAACATATATGCATGTATATGTGTGTATTCTTATGCATATAGGAATGAATGTGTGAGAGACAGAAGATGTTAATTTTTATGTGTCCGTGTCTGTGTTTGGGGTTGTGTGTGTATATAGAAACACACAATATCTGGCACATATTAGGCAAAAAATATGCTAATGTATACTACAAAAATATATCTACAGAAAAAATATTACAAGTGCATAGCATAGAAGTTATGAATGAATTTTAGTACATAGAATTAAGAGTGATTTTATTTTCTTGATATTTGTTATTTTCCAAATTGTCAACGATGGGTATGCATTTTTACATTGAAAACAAAATGCCAAAAATATTAATAATAGTTGTCTTTACATGACAGAATTTTTATTGTTATTTTTTACTTTCCAGTGTTTTTTAAATTGTGTTTTATCACTTTTTTCAGCATATTATGGGGGAAATCAAATTTAATTGATGAGTCAGTTTAGTATAGTGGATCAGGACAGCCTCTGGTTATCAAAGTGGGTTTGAATACTAACACAACCATTTACTTATTTAACTATGTAATTGGAGCAGTTTTACTACACTTGATCTTAGCCAAAAGGCTGAGAAGCAATTGGAGCAGTTTTACCTAATCTTTCTGACCTTTGAATTTGTCATTTGAAAAATGGTGATATCTTCCTGAATAGGTCACTATGGGGATTAAACAAAATTACTTATAGAAGACATCTTGCACATTTTTTTAGCATCAATCCCAGATTTGGTGCTCAATAAACAATAGATAGTTTTTTATTTAAGAACATTGAACAATATATAATAATTATCCTAATAAGCAAGATTATCCTGCTAGGGACCAAATTTCAACATTTCTCTAAACCATCCTTCCCACCATATATTATCATTACCTGGGGAAGGCTTGTGTCCAAATATGCCATTGAAGAAAGCAGGCATCCAAATACTGCTGCCAATTTCAGAGCCCACACTAATCACTGAGCAGGCAGCTCCCACTGAGCAGCCTTCACCACCTAGAGGAAACACAAAATACTTCTTTCAAATAAATAAATTAGCTAAATCACTATTTACATGGAATACTTTTTTCTGACCTTCCACTTTCAATCTTTCTTTTTTAATTTCCTTAAATACATTATTTGTAAAAAGAAAACCACAAATGCAAAATGCAAACCTTTCCCTCATTCATTTATACAGCAAATAAACATGAACAGAGTGTTTTTTTGTGTGTGTTAGGGTTGACACATAAATGATTCTGCTTATCCAAAACTCTAAAAAAGATTAAGATAAAAATGGATGGAAATAAGTTTTGTCATAATAAATGACTTAAATATGATTGGCAATCAATAAATATTGAGCAATGATTTGAGTTTTGGTTTGACGGTTATTGGAATATATGAATGCCTCTGATTTGTGGCAGCACAATTCACTATTACAAGGATGAGGAAATAACCCAAGTGCCCATCAATTCATGAGTGGATTATTAAAATTTGGTATATGTTCACAATGGAATGTTACTCAATTTTAAGAAATGACAGTGAGCTACCACCACTTATATTTTTCTGGATTAAGCTTAAGCCCATCATCCAAACTGAGGTGACAGAAGATCAGAAAAATGGGCTCCACATGTACTTGACATCAAATTGGTACTGACTGATTAACACTATGGTGCTCAAATGGTGGTGGTGTTCACCAGGGATTTAGGTGTTGGGGGGGTAGACCCACATCTGAGGGATGTGGTGAGCATTGTGGAGGGGAAGGACATACCTCTAACCCTTGCTAGGGAGAGGAAAAGGTATAAAATGTAACTAAAATGTTAACACTTTCATATTTCCTCGAAATAAAACTAAAAAAATAAAAATTAAAAATAAATATTGAGCAATGATAAAGTACTGTCATGAAGTAAACAACAACTTATTTTTCATTGTATAAGATTGGCCTTGAAATTGACAACCCCATTCCAAACTGTTACAATAATTTTATGATGGCATCAGCTTTCCTTTTTTTTTCTTCTTTATTTCAGCATATTATGGAGATACAAATGATTAGGTTATGTATATTGCCCAGGCCATATCAGAGTCAGAACTTCAAGTGTGTCCATCCCCCATATGGTGCACATCACCCACATTCAGTGTGTATATACTCATCCCCTCTTCTTCCCTCCCATTTGTCTGACACCCAATGAATGTTATTATTATATGTGAAGTTTAGTGTTGATCAGTTGAAACAAATTTGATGGTGTGTACACATGGTGCTTGTGTGTGTGATTTTTTTACTTCCCCCTTATAAAAGAGTGCTTTTAAATGTCTTAATATCCCATGTATTCTCATTCTAGCTTTTTCTTGTGGCCTTAGATATTCTGTTGTATTCCTATACATTTGAACTATTTCTCCACGTGTCTGAAGGTCTGGAATCCCCATGTCACTTTTGTGAGAAGTGTCTACTCTTTCCTGTAGATTTATTCAACATTAGATGCAAACTATCTTGCCTTTCCCCATGAGCTCTGAGTTAGGCAAGACAAAGACCAGTCATTCAAGCATGCCCTGGACAGGTTATAACATTGCAAATTAGTTCTTCTCAGCTCCCTGTGTTGGAAGCAAGAACTGGGCTGTTGCTTCCTCCCGTCTGCACTGTGCCAGGGAGGAGCATGTGTCAAGAGTGAGCAAAATTTCTATGAAATTTCCTACCATTTTAAATATGGCTTTTTCTTTTATTGTGTGTTAACTTAATAGCTATAAACCTTCGATTGTTTCCCAGAACTCTTATAAAGTTATTTTAGTCAGTCTCTAGCTGTTCTTTTTAATGTTTTCTATAGGGTGAATGAAGGCCTAGCGCTTCCTAGTCTGCAACTTTGCTAAAAACACTCCCCAACAAAATTGATATGTTGTATTTTCATTTCCATTTATTTTATGAATGTCTCATGAGGCTTCTTCTTAATTCCCTTTTTGATTTAGAAATGTACCATTTAATTTCCAGATATTTTGAGCATTTTCAGCTCTCTTGCTGCAATTGATTACTAGTTTAATTCTACCATGGTAGAATTAAGTACTCATTATATGAGTCTATTCCTTTAAATTTGTTAAGGAGTGTTTTATGATCCAGAATATGATATATCTTGTTGAAAGTTCCCTGTGAACTTGAGAGGAATGTGTATTTTACAGTTCTTAGATGAAGAGATCTATAGATGTCAATTAGATCATGTTGATTGATGGTGCCATTTAGTTCAACTATGTCCTTACTAATTTTCTGCCTTTCTGGTCTTTCAGTTACTGATGAGGCTGTTGATGTATCCAGCTAAAATTGTGGATATATTATTTCTCATTAGAATTCTACCAGTTTTTGTCTCATAAATTTTGATACTCTGTTGTTAGGCACATACACACCAAGAATTCTTATTTCTTCTTAAAGAATTAACCCTTGTTATCATTATGTAATGTCTCTCTTTATCCCCAGTGATTTTCCTTTCCTTAAAAACTGCTTTGTCTGAAATGATATAGTTACTTCTACTTTCATTTGATTAGTGTTAGCATGGTTTATCTTTCTCTATCCCTTCACTTTGATCTATCTAGGCCTTTCTATTTGAAGTGAGTTTCTTGTAGACAACATATAAGTTGGATCTTTTTCTATTCCATGCTGACAGTTTCTGTCTTAATAATTGGTGTATTTAGAGCATTGATGTTTAAAGTGATGATTGATACTAACCATATTTGATACCATTGTCTATTCACTGCATTAGGTCTCTATTTATTTTTCTGCCTATTCTGGTTTTAACTGGCCATATTGTATGTTTCCATTTTTTCTTCGCTTGTATCTCAAGTATATGAGTATACATTGTGGGGTACTTTTTTACTTTTTTGCTGTTTTCCCTTGTGTTTACAATATAAATTTACAAGGAACCCAAGTCTTCCTTCAAATGACACCATGCCATTTCCCAATGCTTATAAAAGAGCATTCCCAATTCCTTCATCCCTTCTCTTCTAACATTGCTGCTATTCATCTCATTTATATATAAGCTATAATCACCCATTATTATTTTACACAAAACTGTTATATGTTAGATCAATCAAGAATTTTATTTTTATTTCTTTATTTTTTATTTTATTTCAAGAAAATATGAGAGTACAAACATTTTGGTTGCATTTTACATCTTTTCCTCTCCCTAGCTAGGGTTAGAGGTATGCCCTTCCCTTCCACAATGCTCACCACATCCCTCAAAAGTACAATATTGTATTTTACATTTATCTATTCCTTCTCTAATGTTTTTCTTTTCTTTATACAGATGCAAGTTTGTGACCTATATTATTAACATTTTTTCTTCTCTCTAAACAACTCATAATATTTCCTGTGATAGAGGTATATTGGCAATAAATTCCTTCAATATTTGTTTGTCTGAGAAAGTCTTGAATTTCTCTTTCTCCTTCCTTTTTGAAGGATCATCCTACTAAAGAGTTCTAGGTTGGTAGTTCTTTCAACAGTTTGAATATTTCACTTGAATCTCTTCTTGCTTGCATGCTTTTTGAAGAAAAGAGCAATGTAATACTGTTCTTGCTACTGTATAAGTAAGGTATATTTTTCCTCTTACTTCTTTTAACCACTTCGGTAACACTGTCAACTATAGTTGATAGCCAAGGATGAACACGCACAGCGACTTTAGCCGACAACCGTGATGTGAAGGCACACAGCCGAACATCGATTTTTGCTGACAGTCGTGATGACTTTTCTAATTTTTCCTTTATCAAAATAAAATTGTGGACATTTAAAAATAATGTAATGAAAACATATATGTATATGTTACCTATTCTAATTTACATGACACGTAAAGCTGCCTGTAAAGTAAAACAAGCTTTCAGTGCTTTAAACCTTTCCTCATCACACAAGAGCAAAATGGATTCGTCATCAATGCACAGCACAAACTATCATGTGAACTATGAGTGCTGGCTGCAGGGAAGGTTTTGTGGCCAGTGAGCACAGTACTGAAGTGGTTAAGATTTTATTTCTTTGTCTTTGATCTTCTTTATGATGAATAGTATGCCTAGGTGTAGATTTTTTGGTATTTATCTTCCTTGTTGTTCTCTGAACTTCCTAGATCTGTACTTTGTTGTCTATTAATAATTTCGGTTTATTGTTTCGAACATTTCCTCTGTTCTTTTTGTATTTTTTTCTCTTCCTAGTGTCCCCATTGCATGTATGCTATGCCTGTTGTAATTGCACAGTTCTTAGATATTCTGTTGTATCTTTTCCATTATGATTTTCTCTTTGTATTCCAGTTTAGGATGTTTTTGTTGACATTTCTTGCTTATCACTAATTATTTCCTTGGTTGTGTGTACTGTATTGATGAGATCATCAAAGACAGTTTTCATTTTATTTTAATATTTTTTATTATCTCATATTCTGTGGGTACAAATATTGTTAGGGTTACATATCTTGCACCTCCCCCCTCCCAACCCCGCTATGCCAGAGCTTCAAGCATGACCAGCCTCCAAGTGGTGTGCACTGCACCCAACATGTAAGTGCATACCCTCCCCCATGTGCCTCCTTCCACCTGTCCACCTCACAATAACAGTTTTCTTTTTGACATTTTGGTTACAGTGTGTATCTTTCCCTCTACCTAAAAAGGGATAGAGGTAATCCCTTCCTGCCTACAATGATCACCACATCATTAAGATGTGGGTCTCTGCACCCAAAATCCCTGTAGAAAACTACCATTTTTTGAGCACCAGAGTTTTAATCAGTCAGTACCAATTTGATGGCAAGTGGAACTGTAGCCCATTTTCTGGGTCTTGTGTGGTCTAGCTTTGTATTACGGGCTTAAGCTTAATCCAGGATAGCATAAACGGTGCTAGCTAACTATCATTTCTTAGGATTGAGTAATATTCCATTGTGAGCATATGCCACATTTAAGTTATCCACTCATGAATTGACGGGCACTTGGGTAGTTGCCATGACCATGCAATAGTGAATTGTGCTGCCATAAACATTAGGTTGCAGATATCTTTATAATAGAGTGACTTATGT